TCACTTGAAATGTTTCATATACAATGTTCATCACGAGTACGTGTGACATGTGAGACGTTTAAAACAGATGAGTTTTAAAAGAAATATCGCCACTACAAAAAAACAGCATTCTGGTACATAGGTATAGCTTTATCAATTTCGCGATCGACGTAATACACTATAATTATGAGATTTCGTAGTGCATTGATGATACTTATAGTTATATCATATCTCCGAACTTTGATACTTTAGAATTTGATCGAAATAAAGTTAAAATTTATTAATGAAACTTGAAAAGAACATCTGTCTACCATAATAGTTTCAGTGCTAGTTTTCTTTATATTAGAAGCTGGTTAGATAGCCCGCGGTTTGACTTTTTTTCATCAATTTCTGTGTTAGTCGTAGTATTTTAAATCTATTCATCAGTCTATCTTATCCATCACTTACTTGAAACATGAATGTAAAGAATTCAGTTTTCTTCTCGTTGCTAAACTGATCGATTATATTCAAACTATCATTAGATTAATGTTAAATTGACATATGTTTATAGTTTATACTTTGAAAACAGTGCAAAGAATTTCTCTCTCATTGGTTCGTTTCTTTTTATGTTAAGAGTAAGTTTACATTTTACTATTTACTTGTTGGTATTTTTTTCTTTTTGGTTTTTCTAATAGTGGAATAGAATGACAAGACGTTAATGCTGTTCGATTAAACCTACGTATTTTATCTTTTTTTCCACTATTGAAAAAAACAAAAAGAAAAAAATACCAACAAGTAAGTAGTAAAATGTAAACTTACTCTTAACATAAAAAGAAACGAACTAATGAGAGAGAAATTCTCTGTACTGTTTTCAAAGTATAAACGAATGCCAATTTAACATTAATCTAATGATAATTTGAATATAATCGATCAGTTTATCAATGGGAACAGACTTTAATTATAAATTGTTGGTGCTTCATGTTTTAGATGAAACGTTTGCTGATCATTAAGAGGCATGACAACGGAAAATATTTCAACTGTTTAAACAGTGTCATTAGTCGCCAAAAACGCGTTAAAACAGTTACAAATTCAATGACTCCAAGCGTTTAAACATGTAAAACGTGTTAAAAGTTAATTTTTCATAAACCGTTTTAACGCGTTTTTGGCGACTAATGACACTGTTTAAACAGTTGAGATGTTGAGACGTTTAAACGCCGTTTTTGCCGTTTTGTTGTCTACCTGGGTAGTTTGGGTGTTGACCTTCGCCTATAAGACTTGAAAACTTCTTGATCATTTAATATCTCGATCAGGTATCATATTTTCCAAATGAACATTTTCAAGCAATCTAATAACGGTAGGACCAACTCATGAGCTGAATTTTGGGTTAAACCTGCTTCATTTGATCTTTTACCAGATAACTGGTTTGTCGGTGAAAATTCACTGAAATCGTCGTAAATTTGAAAGAACAAGGCATGAGTGTAAATCCTTCTGGACTTCCGCTAGTCTCGCCTAGTCCTACACCTATTAATGAACGATGAACTCGACCAATATCAAATAGTTGAGGACGTTATCTCTTTAGTTATAATTACTGTCAGTTACTGTCAGTGATTCGAGAGAAATAATCTTGGGTGTGGGTGTGGGTGTGGGTGTGGGTGTGGGTGGGTGCGGGTGTGGGTGTGGGAATGTGGATGTGAGGTGGGTCATATTTTTAATTCATTTCACACCCACACCCTTACTTTCATCTACTATGGGGCGAGCCTCTGTGTCGAAAAACAAGAGAAGTCAAATTGTAACGTTATTCAAAGATGGTCGAAGGCAAAGAACAATCGCAAAGAAGCTCGAGTGTGGTCACAAAACTACTTGAAAATGTGTGCCAAAACGTTAAGATTGGTCTGTCACCAAAAAATGCCAAATGATAGGTTCGAAAATATTTGTCCACTGAAAAATATTATCATCGGCTATTATAATTATGTATTAAAGATTGAACGAAAATTACTTGATAATTTTCGTATGAATTAGTAGTATCAAATGGCAAAATATTATCGGTTCGCATACTTTGTCGTCGACTGTTAGATAGTAGGTACAAAAGTTTACTGGCAAACGCGATTGCTCCGTAGTACCATGCAAAAAAACGTCTTGAGTTTGTGTATAATCAAATTTGATAACTACCTAATGACTGGAAATACATTATGTGGAGCGCCGAGGCTTGTTTGAAGCTATTTAATCGCCAGAATCGAACATTAATTTGACGAATGAAGAGCGAAGGTGAAACACCGACTCCCTGATTTTCTACGAGAGTCAACTGAATGGCGCTGCTTTCTCCTCATTCGTTGAAGACGCATTCAACTTACCATATAATAATTGCCTGCTCATGAAAGACAATGTTCCACTTTGCATCTTGGAATTCGCTACCGATTATTTTGAAAGAAACAGCATTCCTCTTATGAATTAGTCTTCTGCATCAGCTGACCGCAACCCTATCGACAATGTATGGAATATCATTGATGATCATCTGAAAACCATGTGGCCAAAGAACTTAAGAGAATTCAGAGACATGATTGACAACATATGGACTGATTTCAATCCGAAGACATGCAAAACACTCGTCATTTTCAGGTCATATCGACTGAAACATCGTCAAAAAATTCGCGAAGGGACAATGAGTGAACATTAATGAAGCAGTAAAAGATTTTGTCATGAAAACTTCAACTGAACCTATAATTTGTTCAATGAAAAGCGCCATTTTTTTGTATCTGTTGTTTTCTCATGGTAACGATAGTTACATATTGCAGATGGAATAAATATTCAGAAATAGGATAGTAGACTCTACAGAAATTACATATAGACTTCTTAGGCAATGTCTTGGCAATCGATAACAGAATCAGAAAATTTACGCGTATGGAGTGAACCTATCACTTTGGCCACTACTATATTTTCAAATATAGGTGTCAGTTTCATGTTCTCGTCCTACAAACAAGAACCGACGAATGTCATAATATTCATAACTCGAGTATCGAGATTGTAAACATAGGTATTTAGGGTATTCAACTAATACATTTTTGATTGTCATATGCTGTTAAGTTAAGAACTCGATGTGTTTTTGGTGGAAATAGGTGAGTACTCAACTACCATACCCGTCTATCTTCAGCATTGAGGATTTTGAATGCTTTTGGTGTGATGACATGAATAACCGAGTCGGTACCCATAAACCCCTAAACTTGAGCTTTTTGAGTGAATTTTTTATAAGGATGTTTGGTATGGGTATGGGTGTGCGTCCTCTGTTCACCCATACCCATTCCTAAGGTATCTATCTCGTTACATCAAATTCACTCAACATCTTCAAGCATAGCTATATATGGGTAACAAGTTGGATATCTGCTTTGTTGGAGATGGTGTCGTGTAGCTGGCCCTTATTCAGCGAATGGATATTGTGGCAACTCTGCAGAAACTACATTCTAAGCTCCCGTTTTCAGAAAGCCGGAACTACATACAGAATTACTAAGAATCATAAACTGCATACTGCATTCCGAGACTCGAGAATTTAAATATGGCTTCTTGTTCTTAGAAATTTGTCTGTAGTACCGGACTTCTGCAAACGTGAACCACTTTTGAGTTCCTGTTCCTCAGAACCCGAAAACACATAGTCACCTGCGTAGAAAGAAGGGAATATGATGTATATACATCTCAGATGCCCGAGAACACACAAAAGTGCATAGTCACATATGTCCGTGTTCTTCAGAGAACGAGACCTCCGAAGCGAGAACACTTGCATTCCTATTCTAGAGGTATTTGTCATCAGAAATTATTATGATAAGTTAATATAAATTAGATGATCAACGACACTATGAAGCATCGCAAATTCATCAATAACGCAAAATATAAAATGTCTCTATTCAAGGTTGAAACACTTACCTCTACTTTTTGCTTTGTACAAGAACGTTTGTTGTCAAACGAAAAATTGGCAGCAACTGACTGTTTTGTTAGTTGTAAGAAGACAAATGTTTGTTTTGCGTTCTCATTGCTCCCACAGAACTCATTTCAATCTTTTTTTTGCAGACAGAAGAACTCATCAACACTCGAATAAACTTTTTTCTTCTACCAACACTTGGATTAAAAAAACGAAAGCTTCTTGTCGTTAGAGCAACCAGTTGCTACGTGTAACTCTATATACAAAGTGTATGAAAGTGCCTGTTTTTATACTGAAATTAGTTTTTCTTTGCAGTTGGATAAAAAGCTCATGTTTTCAGAGTTGTCTTTCGGCAATTATCGATGCTATTTATCGTAGCGTAGGAAATATTGCCTACCAAAGAATGAACTCAATCGTTGTAATAATGAGTAATCGTTTTTGTATAACTCGTCAATAATAATGATGTGTAGAACCCAACCAATAGAAACTGTATACCCATAGAAAGCAATTATTCATCTTTTTCGTTTCATTCATGGCCTTTCTTTATCAAAAATGCAACAGCAGTGGCCGATGTCCTTGATACTTAAATATTAAAATGTTTAATGAACAATAAGGGTGTGAGTGTGAGTGTGGGGTGTGAGTGCGGGTGTGGGCGGGTGTGGAGGTGTGGGTGTGGGTGTGGATGGGCGTGGGTGTAGGGTGTGGGTGTGGGTGAGAGTGTGGGGTGTGGGGTGTGAGTGCGGGTGTGGGGAGGGGGAGGGGGTGTGGGCGAGTGTGGATGTGTGTGGGGTGTGGGTGTAGGTGCAGGTGTGGGTGTGGGTGTCGGTGTGAGTGTGGGTGTGGATGTGGATGGGCGTGGGTGTAGGGTGTGGGTGTAGGTGTGGGTGTGGGTGTGGGTGTGAAGGTGTGGGTGTGGGTGTGGGTGTGGGTGGGTGTTGGTGTAGATCTGTTAGTCATTCACACCCACATCCACATTCACATTCGCCCACACACACCCACACCCACACACCACACCCATCCTATTCAAAGCCACATCTACAAAATCGTTAACACATATAAATTCAAGCTCAGATCAACACTGACTCTCTGTACCGATAGACAACTCAAGATATTTTCAAACATTCAAAACTTCAAATTAATCATCATCAGAAGTTCTATGAAACGAATTACAAAAATTTTCCATTGATGTGTCCTTGGTAATCCCGATGTAAGATCAAATTAGCCCTTTGCTGGATTCACGAATACACCAATGGACCACAGACCTTGTTTTACCTTTCCATTAGAGTACTGCATCTTTCCTATGCCATCATATTTACCATCTGTAAAGTTCCCCTTGTACAAATCACCATTGGGCCACGTGAAAATTCCTTCACCTGTCATTGTATCATTGATCCAATCTCCTATGTATTTTTTACCATTAGCATAATAGTATTTCCCTTGTCCATGCATCTTATTCTCCTTAAATTGACCTTCATACATATCACCTACCGATTTTGATCGAGTACCCCAGATAAATACACCTTGACCTGTTCTCTTATCATTTATCCAATCACCTGTGTAATTGCTACCATCCGAATAAAGCTGCGTTCCTCGCCCGTGTCTATTATTAAAGTTAAATTGACCTATATATTTTTCACCACTGGAACCAGTCAAGATACCATAACCCGTTCTCGTATGATTGATCCACTCACCTGTATAATTGCTACCGTTTGAAAACATCTGTGTTCCTCGCCCATGTCTTTTACCAGCTTTGAATTGACCCTCATATTTCGCACCGCTAACCCAAGTCAGAATACCTTCGCCTGTCATCGTATCATTAATCCAATCACCTGTATAGTTAGCACCCCAGGCAAAATAGTATGTTCCTCTTCCATGCATTTTATCATTTTCGTACTGGCCTTCGTACTTATCACCATTGAAAAAGATCAAAATACCTTTACCCGTTTTTGTGTCATTGATCCAATCACCTGTATAATTGCTACCATCCGAAAAGAAATATGTTCCTCGTCCGTGTCTATTGCCAACGTTGAATTGACCCTCGTATTTTGCATCATAGAACCAGGTAAAGGTACCATTACCTGTTCTCTCATCATTAATCCAATCACCTGTATAGTTGTCACCATTCGAGTAAAGATGTGTTCCTCGACCATGTCTATTTCCTATGATGAATTGACCTTCATATTTACCTCCATCGAACCACGTAAAAATGCCCTGGCCAGTTCTTGAATCATTGATCCAATCACCCGTATAATTATTGCCATCTATAAAATGATGCATTCCTCGTCCATGTCTCTTGCCAGCATTAAATAGACCCTCAAATTTATCACCATTCGACCAAATATAGATACCTTTGCCAGTCATTGTGTCATTGATCCAATCTCCTGTATAATTTTCCCCATTCGAATAAATCTGTATCCCTCTTCCATGTCTGTTATCATTGCTGAAGTATCCCTCGTATTTAGCATCATCGGACCAAATGTAGATACCTTCACCCGTCATCGTATCATTAATCCAATGACCTATGTATTTGTCACCGTTGGTATAGTAATAAGTTCCTTGACCGTGCTTTTTATCGTTTTCAAATTGTCCCTCATACCAGTCACCATTTGAAAATTTCTTTATACGATAGGTTGTGTGATTTTTATCGCCATCATCAACGATTTGTTCTGAAAGGACAAAGATATTCGCAATGAATTGAATCGACTTTGATAGAAGTATTCGTATCGACACAATACTGAGCGTCTTAGAAATTAAGACGGATTATAAAAGTTTCAACTATAATTATTAAAAAGATTCGATTGTATGCTTTGTATTCCTACTCTTTCTGTGTAATCAAAAGGGTTTTAGTCAAAATATAAAAGTATGTTAATATCAAACAACTGTAACGAGTACCGTGTTACAACTGCTAAAAGTCAACGTATAGGAAGATCTATAAAATTCAGGAAAATGATTTAATCAGTGTATAATATTGTATGCAAAAAAATAATGATCAAAAATTTTAGTACGAATTCAAATAAAGTGAAACCAAACTTGTTTCGATATTAGTCCTTGAGAAGTCACTCATTATTTCATACTTCATTATAGTTTAGTACACGAATAGTTTATCGTATTCAATTCAGATGTTATGTAATTCAGTTGAAGGAATATAAGACAAAAATTACCAGTCAAAAATTGAAGTATTTCCATATATTAATTCATTGTTGACCATACATAGTTGCGAGGGGTTTTTGAAGATGGATGAAGCTTTGGTTATTTATTGTGAAAACTGAGTGACGTAGGCATTTTTTTAATGACCATGCAGGAAATAATCTGCTTCGCTACTAGGTCGTATTATAAGTTCCAAGGATTTTTTCTGTGCAATAACTATATTTCTTTCGCGAAATATACATATAGGATGTTAGTTGATGATATAATCACCATTATTATTGCTAATATTCATCCCTTTTATCGATATTAGTTCAACTCTACGTTTATAGAAACTAGCTGATGCAGATTCGAAAAAAGCCAATCGAATTAGAGTTGATCTCATCAAAGTCTTCAAATTGTTGATCATATAAATGATAATCGGATTAGTAAATGGTCTGTTGAGTGTAGTATATGCACAAGATTTTCCATGAAAATGGTCTATCATTTGTTTCTCATGTTTCGAAATTACGAGTGCAGCAAAGAAAATTATGCCTTTAATGAAGTTTAATCTGACTTCACTGCGTTTTTCAAATGGCTATGGATTACTGTTTACAAACATGGGATTAAACTCATGCCATCAAGATAGACTATACTTAGCGAAAAGAACGGTGATTACCTTGTCGAGTGATATTACATGTCTTCGACGAAAAATAAATTTCTTTTCGAATACGACTCGTTCTCAAGTATTTGGATTCTTGAAAATAAGAAATTTCTTTTTTTTATTATTGCTTATTGTCAAAACTGGTGCAAACATTGCTAAGTAGTCAGCATGAATGAAAGTTTTGAAGGATGCTAGTGTTAACCGAAATTAAAACTGTATACATCAATTGATGCTATAATCTGAAATGCAGTTTATAAGTTACTCTCTATCTTTTAATACTCGAAATACAGCTGAATTAATTTTGCATTTAATTGGATAATGTATTTTAGCTTTGAACACTCTCTATTAATATTATTCACTAACCTTCTCCAGTTTCTGTTGATTGTTCCATTAGATTTGTTGCTCGAGCGCTTGTCTTTGGTGGAAAAGTTGGAATCGTTGTTGACTTTTCTCCATACAATGCTTGAATTCTTTTTTGATCCTACGAAATCATCATACAAACGTCATCATAGCTACTGTCTCAGTGTTATTATCATTTTGTACATTCGCAAAAGTCTTCTATGATTCACAAGTTAGAGCCGCATATAAACAGTAGAGACAGTAGTCTTCCAATTAAATCACATCTGATTATCGCTTAGGTTTCTCTATCTACCCGTTTTTTGTACAAAATATTTGTAATTTTGTTGAGTTCATTTAGACAGAAACGTTGAAATGTATTCTAAGAAAAAGAAAATCACTCTGACAACTGATCAGCCAGACTATCACACTTAGGCGAAGTATCAAACTAGTAACTAATGTGATGTCCATTTACAATTTGACCATGGTTTATTCTCTATACACTGAGCGTTATTAGTATAAGAAAAGATCACGAATGTTGTTGGAAGACGGAATACGAAATGTCAAAAATGGAAATCTTTCTTCATTCAAACATCTTAAATTTTTACTTCAATGTAGCAAAGTTTCCTTGCTTGAATTGCTGAATTAGTTAGACCGCATTGTGAATACTGCCGTATGAACTTGTCTCTGCAAGCATCTTTTCCTTCTTCAAGTAAGAAAAAAAATAAGAATAGCTATCCTAGATAACGTATTATTGACGGTGAATTGGTATGGTTGTGAATATTCTTCTATCTTGACGCCTCTACTTCCATGTCTAATGCAGTAATTATCACCTGAAATCTCCATATTAAACACGTCTCCAACTAAAATTTTAACATATACTATGCATCTGTTGATTTCTTAAAGTTTAAAACTAAAGCATTCGAATGTAAACGATCGATTTCGTAAGTTAGAAGAGAATACTGTTTTTCATACGAAGACCTAGAAATTATATCCAAGCTTATAGCACCTAAGATAAAGAACAAATGAATACTTAACTAACTTGTTTTAGCAGCATATCTTCTGGGGGAATTGAACTGTAAAATGGGTACATAATTGACTTTTTGTTGTCAGTATTATGGTCTAGACCAAGACTATGCCCAACTTCATGTGAAGTAACTAAACGTAAATTGTAATCTTTGCCATTATATCTATATATTTCAACAACAGTTCGATACAATCTCGTTCGATTATTACCTACTTGTCCGTCCACTTTTCAGTTGAATCAAAATGAATTCGTCCGCGATTGCCCTGCCATGGATAAAAAGCATGTGCAAGAAGTCCATCGCGCCCATCAAAAATATATTCATCGGAATGTTGACCATATTCAAAAGACAAATTGAAATCAGCATCTTCGTGGTCAGCTGCCTGACGAAATGTTAATTTCGTGTATCTAGCCCAATCATTAAAACTTCGTTCAATCTCTCGATTAATTTTTATTAGATCATAGAACGAATGATCAGTCTCTAATTTCCACGTAAGCGTGCGATTCGTTGGCCTGAAAATTAATAATAAAGAATAGATGTTTGGCAGTTTCAGTACGTTTTCTATTTGATGAGTACAATCAATTTTTCCGATGATTCTCTATATCATAGTCTGCATCAAAATAAGTTTCGCAAGGAGAACATCATAAAAATAGTTCTAAGACTATATAGAGCAGATCTATCATTAATTTAAGATACTTTTGTGCGGTCAATGTGTATTTTCATTTGTCTTCATTGACAAAAAGACGATTGAATTGTATATATTCATGATGAAAAGTGAACTTTAAGATATAATTGTGTTAGAATTTCATTTATACTGTCATTCTCAGTACATTTAAAGAAAACAAGAAAAAAGAAGGGATCTATTTGAATAAAATACCTATAAATCTACATCATTATTTATCTTATTGAATACTTCTATGTTTGAAGATAACGTCATATAGAGTTTCATAGTATCATTTTAGCATGTACAACTAATAGTTGACATTAAAACTACAACAGTAAGAAAAAAAAACAGACATATTACCAGAGCTTACTTGTTTTGTTGATCAACGAAGATGAAGAGTCGGGTAAATCACATCGTGGTGTATTCATTTGTTTCAGTGTTTCAGTATCGAGCTCTCTAGTTACTGGTAGATGAAATGTAGCTTGAAAATGTTCTAGCATCGATTCAAAGCTCGACAGACATGCCGGACTTTCATAAACTTCGGAATCAGCGTCAGATGACCTTTCACATCGATTATATCCGAATTCAACAAGAAATTTAAAAGCATCTGCCCTTGATTTGATTGCAACATCTCTAGAATTTCCTTCTAATCGAAGTACTGTGCGTTTTACTCTTTTGCTTTTCAACGCATTTCTATTCAACGGATTGGCAATAATAAACGTAAGTAGAAGAGAATAAAAGATGAGCCTTGTAAAACATTTCATGATTGTGTATGAAATGAAAAGTAGTGAATTAATGCAATGAAACATGATCCATGTATGTTTTAAAACGGTAACATTGAAGCAAAAACGAAGAAAATTCGTAAACTCAATCAAATGATAAGATTTTTGTTTTGGTATTCTATTACGTGCTAGCAATTTACTATAAGAGAAAGGTAGATAAAAATACTAACAGTGGCAAAAAAAGCATTATTTGAATAGAATTTTTTCAGTATTTTGCGAATGAACTCGGCTATTGATAAGAGAATTTCAATATTGTAAATAGAATCTTCAGTCTGTGTATATATTTCAAGAGATCTAAACTACTACATGAGTATGAGATCTTCAAAAAGAAGACATTGCTCTCAAGTCAAGTTTCAGTAGTCAAATTATTTTTATAGAATATACAAATGATTATTCTGTTTCGATTCACAAATTCAAAAGATAAGAAATATTCAAAAATTAAAATAATCGTGTGAACGTAGGTGTGTGACAAGGAAAACGTTCATATCCATACCTACACCTCAATTTGTATGATAAAAGAATTTATTATAACTAATGAGATATACTTCGGCTTTGAGTGATTTTTTAAAATTATTTTAAAAATTACATATTTGAACAATACACTGTTATGAAAAAAAAATGTAACTTTAAGGGTGTAAGTGTGTGTGCAAGAATGTATCTGACTGATTTCTTATCACCTATAAATCGTGGTTAAACAAACATAATATACAAAACGATAAATAACAATAATCAGCAAGAGCAACACTTTCGAAGACTATTCAGTTTTGTGCCTAGATTAATTGTTCAGTTCCATTTTTAATGAGCAGAATAATGTAGTAAAAGAATCTCTATTCATTTTTCTAAGGAATACTTAACAATATTCTTCCAGTTATCAATACTTTTTCAATAAAATCTGACTATAAAGAGAAAGAAGATCAAAGTAATGATTGATCAATTAGTCGTAACCTAAAAATAAAAGATATATACTTTTGTTGATGTTTTCCTGCTTTTTCTCTTGACATTTTGCTATTCGATATTTTCTTTTTATAAATTTTCCATTAAACTTGATGCGTGTTTTAGTCTACTCTTCAGGATCACTCATTTCACATTCAAAAATATTCATAAAAATGAATAGAAAGAAGTTTCAAGATTTTCTCTAATACAACATTGATACTTCAATTTGAAACCATCCCAAGTTTAATATTTTTTATAACCATGAAGTTATTTTGATTTTCTTAAGCGGTAGTAAAACAAGGTGGAAGTTTGTCCAAGCAGCCCATTTACTGTGAGAGAGTGCTCCCCTGAAATCTCAAACAACAATATTCAGATCAACATAAGATGGAATTAAATTCGTACTCCTGTCTTCAACATTATTCATGATACATACTTGAATTGAATACAAATGTTAATCAAAGGCTTCTCTTCCTTTGTTACCCTAATTTTGTCATGTTAATTATCGTTAAGTACACTTTTCATTAGTTTTTTTTTGTCTACTCGTTTATTCTTTAGAAAAAGATATAAAAAAATTTAATCGACACACAAATGAAAAGCATGAGAATAATCACAATAAGAAACATATGATAATGGTTAACATGAAAGAAAATTCCATACATATATATCTACATGTATGTAGTGTCTCCGAATGTCGTATAATTAGAAAAAATTATTAATCATCAGTATCATATTAACTTGGCCCGACTAATACAATTTTGTTTTGTCGGACAACAAATTTCCAATTTTTTACTGATGACATAACATGATCAAATGGAGTAGTAAGTACTAAACTTCCACATTGAATTTTCTCTATTATTGCATCAGCTGTCTATGTCCCCATATTAACTGTTACTTTCTTTATTAAATACTTTTCATGTTTCCTAATAGTAAATGGACCAAATTTCGCTAGATGTCCTGATGGCATAGATCGGAATACATTACATCGAACTGGTGTGTTCCGTTCATTATAGATAACAGCTGAATAAACTATAGCCGACGAAGGTAAAGATGTAATTCTGGATGCAAGTAATAAAGTAGAAACAGCAAAATACATCATCAACATGATCAATTTATATCTAAAAACTGGAAAAAATAAAACATATTTCTTCTACATATAAAGATAGCAAATCATATTAAATATTATTTCAAAAACAGAGTTCAATAAGATTAATCCACTGTTTATATTGTTACAATTCTTCATTTAGATTCATATATTGTCGATAGTCATAGTCTCATATGAAAATCTATCTGCTGATTTTCAAATTCTAAAAAATAGAAAACAAAATATTTGTTATTTTAGAATAAAGCAACAAAATTATTGAAAATTAACTGTTTTCTTAGGTACAGTGTATTTATATGTTTTTCATCGAACAAGAAAACAAAATAGTTTGACGATTAAAAATTAACTAATGGTACACCTTAGCTGTCAAGAAAAAATGAAAACATGAGACACATATGAAATGATAAACTCAAAATTAGGATTTGATGTTTTTTGGACATAAATGGTTTTTGCATTTCGAGATGAACAGAAAGTGAGATGCATACGATCACTTATGCAATTATTTGATTATAGAAAGGACTGGTAAACTACAGTTTAAGTTTACTAACTTTTCACTAATTTCATACTGTGAACATAAACTAGGTTCTGATTTTTCATAAAGTTCTCTACAATAAGCACTATTAACACTATAGTATCTCAGTCTCTATCATGAATGGCAAGTAAATCTTTTTGAAAATGCTCTAAAATTTCATCCCGATTATTTTCTCCTCGTTGTTGTTCATTTTTTATGTTATTCTAGCATAATCTAGATAATCAAATGGTAATTATGAACATAAATATGAGAATATTTATTCGCTACAATTAATATTAAAAGAAAATATTGATTATGATTTTAATTTCGGTTGTAATTGAAATGCTTCATCAGCTTATTGTTATCATGCTACTACCCATGCGATTCGAGCGGGAAAAAAACCGGCGGTACACCGACTGGTATAATGTGCGCTCTACCGGCATGATCAGGGTACGAATCTGCAGATCCTCAGTCTTATAATTCTAAGAATGAATATAAATTATTATAGGCTGCATGTTGGTTTAGTGAATCTATTTGATAAAAATTCTCTTCTTTTTTTTTATTTAGATAGCGAAAGTTTTTTTGAGCGAAATTTAGATGTTTCCGAGAAGATTTTAAATAAATGTTACATTCACTCAAACAACAATCTTTGATACATAAATAAAAACTAAGAGGGTTTTTATCAAATATATTCACTAAACCAACTTGCAACCTATGAGAATTCATATTAATTCTTAGATTTGTAAGATTTTGAATCGTGGATATGATTAGAAATTGTTGCTTCGTCATGGTTTCGTTGTTTTCTTAAGTCGATCCTTTTTGGATTGATCTTAATAAAAAGAAAAAAAAACAATTTTCATAAAAAGACACTTACTTTTCTTTTTGTTGTTAATATTGCTCTTAAACCAACAAAAAAATTATTTAAATCAGTACTCACTTTTCATTATGATCTTGCAATCGATCTAAATAAAAGAAACATAATTTATATAAATCCTTTTTTTACCTCTTGGAATGAAGATTACCCTAAGTGAAAGAGAAATTATATAATTTTTGTAATAAATACTAACTCTTTATTGCTATGTTGAGAATTGTCTAAATTAAAGTCATCCATATAGATAAATATATATATATATATATATATATATATATATTGTGGTAGTGTTTTAACTGCTGGTATACCGCGTTAACGAACAAAACCGTCGTTATACCACGGTAATTAATAAAACGGCTGGAATACCGGTGGTTTCTTCCAGTACCGCGGTATACTGACGGTAGGTCAAATAAATCTACGACATGGGTATATAGAATTCAGTTTCTGGATTGAATTTAGCCGTATCTGTTACAATAAGTTTACCAGTAATTTGATGTTTTCTTGATTGGCGATATCATTTTGTAACAATAAAAATATTATCGGTAAGCATGTATGGATATGGCTCCAATTTATTGGTTAATTTGAATACTAAATTCCTCTATAATCAACTCTTTTGTTATTACACATTGCATATATTTTCATGCACTTAAAAACTTTGTGTAAAAGAATTTTCGTCATATTCATGCATCGAAAGATGGATATACTGCGCCCTAGTATGATAGAATTTAGACATCTACATAGTGTTTGGGCATGAGTATGAATAAAGAGAAAATTCGTAATCACATCCACATTCACGGTAGGATCTACGTAATGACAGAAACCTTGTCAGAAATTTTTATGATAAGATGAAGTCAACGGTATTCTTCTAAAAGTCCTGATAATTAAAAAACAATCAGAATTGTTGATCATTCATCAGGCTAAGCACCAAAAAATAATGTCATCGCATATATCTATCTACTGTAAAACTATTTTTCAATCAGTAAGAAACTGAAAATATAAATTAAACGATTAAAAATCTAGATATTGAATGAAACAACATCATTAGAACTTACTCATCTGTTGCTCTCACTTCCTTCTTTTTCATATCATCATATACTTTAGCATTGCATCTATATTCCGACTCTGAGATAAATATTAGTGAGTACATTTAATTCTATAAAATAATGAAAATCTTATGTTATATAGTTTTGTTCTTATTCTTGTTGAATCGACAATATTGCCAGTTTTCATCGATCAGTATTCTAGAGGATAGGTTTTTTTATTCTAGTTTAAATAGGCTTCAATGGGCTTCATAATTTCTAAATTATTTGCTTCTATGTTCAATAGATTCCATGCCACAAACTATACCAGAGCAAGTTGCCTTATTTTACTATTATTTAAAGATCTCCAATAAAAATTCATCTCATATGAAATTATAATTATCAAAATAAATGGACAAATAATGTAATAAAATAAAAATATAAAATTATAAAAACAGCTAAATGCTATTCGATACATCACGTGATATTTCGATATCTATACGCAGACATCATCATCAGACGTAACCAAAAAAGAAAGAAACAATTCCATTTTTATCAGATTTACTAGAATCTAATATAGTCATATCAGATTTACCAGAACCCAATATATCATTATAACGTATAAGCATATTCATATAATAAGTGAGCTCATTAAGTAATTCTTTCTTTTTTTTCATAATATCATTTCTCCATTTATTTTAATAATTATTATTATACTTACACAGCAATATAATGTACGTCTCTCAGTTTACTCTGTTTCAAGTTAATGAACTCACTTAATCATTGTAACGTGTTTATACATTATACTATATTAGGTTCTAGTAAATCTGATATGACTATATTAGATTCCGTAAATTTGATAAAAATGGAATTGTTTCTTTATTTTTTGGTCACATCTGATGATGGTATCTGCGTATAGATACCGAAAATCACGTGGTGTATTGAATAAAATTTAGCTGTTTTTATAATTTTATATTTTTATTTTATCATATAAAGCTGTTTTTTTTTCAAATTTTCATTCAGTTAAAATAAGATTATGTACTTCTATCTTTGTATCCATTCTAATCGATAACAAGAAATATACTGCAGATTCAACAAATTATATCAATCGATAGAGTATTTTACACTCCATCAATTTGTAAAAAATTGATAGTTCTCATCCTCAAAACTTGGTTTTAGTAATTATAACTGAAAAAGATGGAAAAAGTGAAATTTTTCAAATTCTATTATATTACAATGTATTCATTTTTAATTATTTCGATGGGAAAAACAGTGTCTTTATTACTATTTTCACAAAATAACTAAGCAGAGCATAATTTTCTCTTAAAGATAAAACCACTTTTCTCTACGTCTCTCGTTGAATCTACAAGTTTTAAGCCTTTCCTTCCCGACGACACATACTTATCATCTATTAGGTTTTCAGTCATTTCAGTGTACAACAGTTTAATCAATTTTTTTTGGATCTTGAGGGTGTGGGTGTGGGGTTGGGAGTGGGGTGGATGAGTGACTGTGAAGGAACTGCAAACTACTACCCACACACCCATACCCACACCCTTCTGCTGCTAAATATAAACATCCAGTAAGACAAACACTTTTCAATGATTGTTTAGGACTATAGATTTTTTTCAGTAACATAATTTCTGGATGTGAGTGCGAGTGTGTATAGTCTAATCTCCTACGTCGATACGCACATCCACACTCACGTCACCCACAACCCATAATCTTTCTTTTCTCTATGTAATAAATTGCGTTCTTTTGTTATTCTTATATATTTTTTCAGTTTTTTTCTTTCTCGTTTTGTTATTCTTATTGTAAGCTTTTTTTAATGCAGTAAAATAGAACATATTTCGAAAAGCTTCGTGTCGTTCTTCTCTTTAAACAATTCTTTGAGGGCGAGAAAGAAACCGTACATATGCTGTAGCGTGCAACGTCTTTTTTGTTCTAATACAATTAGACGCAGGAGTTGTTATTTATACATTTTCTATTCTTTTATAAGCAAAGAAAGAAATATTCATTTTCTGTTTTTTCTTCCACAATAAAAACAAGTCTTGTTTTAAAGTTAATTCGTGAAGATACGCAATGGAACACAGTAAAGATATTTTACCAGTTACTTTTTCCGTCACTTTTACAGGACTTGCAGCAATACTACTCTCCTGACCTTTTCATAAGTCCTGATTTTCCTGCTTTCGATCAGAAATTCTGATTTTGTTCTGATTTGGATGTGAGTGTAAGTATTATTTCACCCACACTCTCGTCATTTACGTTTGTTGCCGAAGTTATGCAACTGTATATATATATAGAGAGAGAGGATCTATATAAAATCAGGAAAAAAATTGTCTTCGTCATTACGAAGATTTAAGTGAATCACGATCAATATACACGTATGCAAAGTGTAGAGTGTGAGTGTGTCGATGTGATTCTTTTCTTCTCTGACAGCCACACTGCATACTGAGTCAATAACCAATTTTTTTATTGTAAATTTAAAACTTGAACTATTTACATTAAAAAAAATTTCAAATCCACTAAATGCTTATACTTCTTTCCGAAGTAAAAAAAAAGATTACCGTTAGAGTCGAATGACTATTCTGTGTTTGATGATTAACTTATATCTATTGTACATGGTGAATTATAATGGATCCTTTTTTAGTTTTGGTCAATCGTTGACATATAGAGTCTTTTAGATTTATATTCTACTAAGTTGTACAATATTTCTTCCCATCAACTTAATATATTGTAAGCTGAGTTAACACAACATGACTCCCTGTTGCTCCACCATTACCAGGATGAGGTGTACCGCCAGATGATGTAAAGATGACCTTGTCTACGTCTTTCCAATGAAGGAGAATAAGTTGTGGTTTTCCATAGACAAGATTTGTTGTATGTATGTTAGTCCTTGTAGGATTTCGATATCCCATAATTGTTAATTGTAGATCATCATTCCAAGCAGCACATGCAGTAACAGAAACAAAAGTAAACTTGCGATTACGACTTCCAGCGCTAATCGATGCATTATCCTTAAAAAATGCAATATGTCGACTACCTCCACGTTTGAAGGAAGTAACATATCCACTTTTAGGTTGTCTGATCTTCCAAAATAATTCGTTTCCATACGCAATATCAGTCCATATGAGTCCTCTGTACATATTTGAAATTAGTTGTGATCGATCAGCAGCAATTGGTAAATCATCAAATGTGATTTTCATTTTTTTTATCAATGGATCTAAATTTATTATATTCTCATAGTTTTTTTAGTGAAAATCAAATCTTGTTATTCACTTACACAATAACCGAATTTCATTTAATTCAGCATTGAGTTCGTGTATCTCATATTTATTCTCTTTAGATTCAGTCCGAGCTTGTCGAAGTTGCTCTTTCAGACAGATAATTTCTGTATGTTGGGAAATAGCATCAGCTCTTTTGTATACAAGTTTGCAATTTTCACAAGTGACTTCGATTGATGCGCAGTTATTTTGATGATTATCAAGATCTTTTTTTAACATATTTGTTTGACAACCAGGACATCGTTGGTATTGGTAACTACACTCGATTTCATGTTTGTCTAAAGCTTCATATGGAATGATCTACAAAAAAAAGCGTAGACTTGAAAATGTGATTGATCTCTAAAATACTTGATTGCAACCATTCGATTCATAGAAACAAGCTATCTGTAATTCAGCAAGTAGTTTAGTAAGAATTGGTGGACATTTTCGTCGAACGTATGTTTTGCATCGATTTGGACACTGTGCTGGACTGCCGACTAGCCATTGATGGATGCATACGGAACAGAAAGGTGTTTCACATGATTGACAAGCAACTGGTTTCCAGAGTATTTCGCGACAAATAAGACATTCAAGATGATCAATATTGAGCCCATGTGGGTCACAAATACGATCAGAAGATAAACCATATTGTTGAATAGATGTCATCTAAAATAAAATGTAAAAACGATCAACAATATTAACCATGTTTGATGAATGAATTATGATGGTAGTTCTGTATAGCTTTATATGACTTTGCTATCTCTTAAAAATCAACAATGTGATATTCTTAAAGATAATAAAACAACTTGAGAAATAAAAAGAAGAATTTTGTCTGTTTCTTCTTTTACGACTAGAAAGAAAAACAATAATGGTTTCATTATGAAATTTCGTTCGAAATTTTCTATGGGTTTATGACGCTGAAAAATACATGTGCAATGTTTTGATTCTATGTCATGTTTTTTTTTCTCTATTTAAAGTGTGTTGTCTGATGAAAATATTTGCGTTACTACTCTAGTCACCAATCAAAGTATGTTAAAATGACGAAGAAAAATCTTCTGACAAATGGAGAATTCCAATGTTAGTCGTTTTTTTTCATACTGTTATGTTGGAAGAATGCATTACGTCATTATTGTCCAATTTTCCAAGTCGTAAGGATGTTGTTGTTATTTGCCATGCGAGAAATTTATTCAAATCAATTAGACTTCTTTTTCATATAGATCAAATGTCGCATTTTAAATTTATCATCGATGATCATCATTGATCAGAAGCATATTACATAAAAATTTCTTTTATATCGTTCTTTATTAGTTGTATAATACCGTTACCATGGATCCTAGTGTATAATGCAAAATATTTCTTTTAATCTTCTCAAAAACTTTTATTTCTTTTTCTCCTTTCAAAAAAAATGACAGAAAACAAATGGTATAATTGATAAAAGAAATTTTAACTTGAAACTATGTAAAATTCATGAATTTTACTTGCTAGTTTTGCCTCTGTCAACTCGATTGTTTTGTAAGAATTTGTTTAACGTTTATAGAACAATAGAACATGTTCTAATAATGTCCATTTATTTCATTAAACAGATTAAAAAATAAGGAAAAGTCTCTATGTATATAAAAATGTCTTTGCTCAAAAATTACTTTTTTCTTTCATCGAAGTTATTATCTTAGTATGTGCGGGATGAGAACTCGCCAGTTCATCTCCAAATTGTTTCAAAGGCTGCGGGTGGATGTGGGTGTGAAAGATACTCTTATGTAACCCATATCCACATCCGCATCCACACACACTCACACCTTCCTTGTCTAATTTTTCCTTTATTTAGGCATTACTATGTCAGATAAACGTATTCCATTTCATTTACGTGATATTAGCAATCCACCATCTTATTTTACTCAACAACAACAAACATGGATACGTACGACAAAGAAGGCAAAGAAGAATTATCAATTACAACAACAATATCCACCATTCATCGTACCAAAATCAAGTTATGAAGTAAGATATGTACATAAATACACTACAATTGAGACAATGCAAATGCTGATCAATCATGTACAAAATTGCAACGAGTTTACACTTGATACTGAATCCGAACGATCATATAAATGATTGGCATAAATACAAATTCAAACAATAACTTGTCGATTACCATCATTTGTGATCTTATTGATACTTGCACATTTACCATCTACTGATTCATTGATCAATATAAAGATTAAACAAGTTTTTCAATTAGTTTTTAGGTATGGAAATAAATTATACTCATGGGGACCACTACGCAAGGAAATATGCCCGGTCATGATTTATCAATTGTTCGATTGGTCTATTAAAGCATCAGTGATCAATATTCAGCTTAAATTTCCTGGTTGGTATGCGTGGGCAGTATCTTATTGCGAGGTATGTAACTCATCTTCTCATCGCAATGTTATTGTTGATGATATCGGTTCTATTAGAAACATTAATTCATCTTCAATATGTATTTATCAACAACCAAGTCGTTATGCTCCTCATGAAAAATGGGCATTACAACAAGCTTTAATTTATATCTGTCGCATGTTTATTGACAAATCCGTCACTGTCAATCATTGGGCAGGCGGATTCGATCCAACTTATTCAACTTTATCAAGGACAAAACGAAACAAAATGATACATTATACAATCCATGCCTGTTTTGCGACAACATATTTAATTCGTCCCGTTTTACAATATTGGTCATTTCAACAGGTAATAAATAGTAATATTACTAATCGATTTCAGGCATTATCATCATCATCATCTCAAGTAAATAATAACATATTGAAAACAGATATTAATCAATAATCGATTCCAAGCATCATAGATGATGATATTGAAATTATTTCTGATGATGATGAGGAAATACCAGTCACTTAGTGTATTAAAAATATTGCCAGTAATGTCTACTATATGAAACAATTTCTGATGATCATAATGAACTAAGTATGGTATTATCAATTGGTAATAGTGATTCATATGTCAACAATCATGATGTGATTGATGATGACAAAGATTATGAGCAACAACATTTACCAGCGAAACGACAATCATGCCATCAAAGACGAACAGCTGAAGCCGAAAACGACGAAATCGAAAACGAAACAATATTTTTCGATTAAGACGTTATCATTATTTTATGACGCGTCGAATCTATCATCGATTTACTATGAAATTAATTAAAAATATTCCCTATCAATATAATGTTCATTATACTTATATTAAAACTATAGCTGAATTGTTAGTCATTGGTGTCAAAAATGATATAATCAAACAACAAAATGAACAGCAATTGCCTAATGATATATTCGATCGATGGGTGTGGGTGTGGGTGTGGGTGTGGATGTGGGTGTGCTGGTGAGTGTGGGTGAGTGTGGGTGAGTATTGGTAAAGAGAACACTAATACTCATACCGAAACCCATAACCACAGCCACACCCACACCCTCAAGTGTCATTTTTTCATATTTAAAAAAACCTAATCTCAATAAATGGACTCTTTATTATACATATGATTGGACCCTTTATAGATCATAACTATTGAACCATAGATCTGATATTAAACAAATAGTTGGTCATTTGTTAGTGTTTCATAATTAGATAAAAAAGTCGTTACTTCCGCAAAAATTTGATAAATCCTTGCTGGGATTATTATCAATGTCTTTATATGAGAACTATTATAGGCCTCTCTAGTGTAGGCCATTTTTCGGGATGTTGGCAGGGTTTTTAGACGTTGGATTTTATATGGTTAGATGTAGCTTGGAAAGCTCTACAAAATGAGATAAAAAATTTTTGGTGGTTTGACAACTGAAATTATAAGAGCATTAAAACTTGAAAAAATTCGATATTTTTACTCCTCTACTTTTCATGAATTTTGATCTTAAGGACTGCATAGCTTCCAGCTGCAATGATAAATATATTTCGAAATTGCTAGTGTTCTGTGGGGCGCATCAAAGGCTATCAAATGAAACTTGAACGACCTAGATCACTTTCATCGTTTTCGAGAAAATGTCAAAATACTGATCGCAGTCAATTTGTCAATTTATTGATTTGATGATCAAGAGGCTGAAAAAAGTCGGTTCGGGCTAAAATTTTTTTGGAAGGATTTCAAATCGAAAAAAATTGGATTGACCGGTAAAAATGAATGTTTTTCCAAACCATGTTATTAAAATCGAAAACACAAGTTTAGCAGCGGCCGCGATGTTTGGTGGTCAGACGAAATCTCTCTTAAGGCTCAGTGGTTCTCAATTTCTTTTGCGTACTTGGACTTGAACTCGGTTAATAAAAAATTAGCAGACACGGACCCTATGCAACGGCCTCTACTGTGGATGTGCATGTTGATGCGCTTGATTATGAGTTCTCGCAGGCAGCTTGAACAATCCCACATGCAGACCTACACCAACAGTCATCTGCAAGCATAGATGCACTGACACGCCCATTCACCCATCCCCAAATCTGACACCCTCGCAATCACACACCTTGATGTAAAATAAAGTGCATCAAACTGTTTTAAAATAACATGTAGTACCGTTAATCACAATAAAGCATTTCAAATTATATTAACGTGCGATTAAGTATAAATGTGCGATGGTTTTCATTTTACTATTATTATGGCATTTCAGGCAATTTAATAGAGAGAAAAGAAATATTTCGATTAGATCTTATTTCACATTCACAAGAGCGATGTACATTGATGTTTATCCGAAAAAAGATGTAGTCGATACTATTGTACGCGTACGTATGGTATTAAATCATGAAAAATGAAACATTTTTTTTGTGATCGCAATGATTTGCATGTAGCTCTCTAAAAATTCTAGAACTTTGATCAAATACCATAAACATTCGAAAGAAGTATGCCATTTTGAAATTGTTACGCATACTTTATTATTGAAATCGATCGAAAATTTGTCATTATGCGAGCGTACCATGCTGGAAACTGTTTTAGATGCAGTCTAATGTAATCAGTTTAATATCAGGACATGTTTTGCATAAAATTTGTAGCTCAGTTTTGCTCAAATGCGGTTGATGTACACCGAACGGATTATCGTAGAAAACTGCTTCGACAGAAAATGTCCTCGCGACCATAAAAGGTGCCACTTTGCCCACCATAGGAATATAGTGAGAGTACCATACATCTTCATTGATACCCTCCGTATAGTTTTTTCTATTCAGTAACAATAAAATTTTGTTACGACTTCGCAGAGAGAAGCCACCATTTCCGACTGCATGATCCGGCCAAGGAGCACCAATGTAATCATAGATCAAATAGTCAGCTAATTTATGGGGTGAATTCGAGCATAATATAGAGTCTGTTTGAAAAAAAAGGATCTTTTCTCCTCGCACTTGTTTCCAAAAAGAACTATTCGTATAAACTGTATTTTGAAATAAATAGCGATCGCCTGAAAATTCAGATAATTGAGTGAGAATCACTTTTCCAGATTGGATATGACTCTTCAAAGTAGAATTTCGAATGAAGGCACTGTTATTGGCACCATGAAAGATTTGAATAGGCCAGTCGACAGGAATACGATGTAATACATTAAGCACAACACTAATCAGAATCACGTCTGATCGAAACTCGGCAATGACTCCAAGCCCATCATAGTATGACTTGTTAACGAAGATCGAGGAGCAGTCGGAATCAAAACTACCATTACTAGGTTTATTAATATTAATAGAATGTAAGGCAGTCCTTGGTATATTCATATTAACATTCCACGGTAGCAAAACAATTATAGTGCCAATTAAACAAAAAAATGCCAAGACATTCAATATGAAAAATAAGGCGGCCTTGTACTGATTCGAAAAGTTCATTCGGATAGTCAAGTTGCAAACAGTTCTCGAAAACAAAATTAAACAAAATCTTTAGACAGATACGCTGGTATAGTATATTTAGTGTTCCAGACGAATATTGTATTGAACTATCCTGCAAACAATGGTTTGATTAGATGAGGCGTGTGAAAAGATACAATGTGGTTTCTATATTAGTTTTAGTATGGGTGTAGTAGGGTTCGCAAATATTTTCATGAATATCTATTTCTTTGTCACGAAAGAACTACTTGAACGTAAAACTAATGTACCATTTGTAGGAATTTTACAAAACGTTCTCTCAAAATAGATACCACGCATACTGATGCCAAAAGGAGAACTCACTTGAATATAAAAGCGATGAAATCATGCAGATGTTCGTCATTGTTCTGCAGGTATCACTTGATTTGTAACTTATTCGTTGAAATGAATATGTATATTGAATTTGATAATAACTATTCACTCTCCGAGACGAGCAAGACAACCGAAGTAGAAAAGTGATATTTACAGTTTTATGTAAAGCGCTTCATATAGATGATAGTATCAAAAAGACGATAGAAAAAAAACCCATATGAATTCAAAATCTATCTCTGAAATCATGAAAGGCATTATCGAGGCTGGAATTATGAATACGTGACGGCCTACAAACCATCTCAAATCAGCTCTCATTCGACGAACAGATTAGCATGAAACCGCTCAGATATCACGTCAATAACACATCCTTATCTCTACCTACAGCCTAGCGAGAACCATTCGAAAACAAGCTACAACTCATTCTCGTCGCACGGTTTGATCTTTGACTTACGTTGAGTAAATATGATTTGCTTGTAAAAAGCTCCCTGTGAGACAGACTTCGCTTCACAAACAACTCGCAAGAAAAACCTGTGTTCAAGTAATCGAAAGAGAAATGAATATTAAATTATGCCCAGCGTTGTGTCACAATGAAGATCAAATGAAATCCGCAATTTCTCTCTCTCTCTCTCTCTCTCTATATATATATATATATATATACATATGTATGTCGTATCGAAGTTACACCGGCTGACGAAGTTGTAACTTAGTCGTCTCATATTGACGAAGTTAATTCTGATTCATCTATCAATAAATAATTCACTTCATTGAATTTACTACTGTTGGATATATAATTGAAAATTTTTTTTTTAATAAATATTTTGGATATATACTTAAATTTTCTTCTAATAAATATTTTGAATATATACTTAAATTTTTTTTAAAATCTTAAACAAATGAATACTTATTTTTAAAAAAATTTTAATTACATTGTCAAAATATTTACTAAAAAAGTTTCATTATATATTCAAAATATTTATTTAAAAAAAATTTCAATTATATATTCAACAGTAGTAAATTCAATGAAGTGAATTATTTATTGATAGATGAATCAGAATTAACTTCGACAAATTTCTCTGTCGATGTTGTAACTTCGATACCACATGTATATATATATATATATATATATACATATAAATATGCGACAATTCTGCATTAGTTGTGCAAAGGTGGCACCGAGTCTCGAAAATGTGCACAAACAAATACAAACAGAAAAATTTCGATTATAGTGTATGAATAAACCATTAATAATTTGTATTTGTATAGTAGAAGTAGGTATTCCGTTTGACTTAGTCTTCACAATATATTTTCTTTTAGCATGTTCTTCAATAAGGATTGCGCAGATCGATGACTACTTCAAATCACTTGCTACTTTCTCGTTGAGAGAGACTTGCCACATATATGACTAGAAGGAACATTTTCCCTGGATTTTTGTTAAGGGTCCTAGAAGCTGAAAGGGATTAATTGTGTGTATTACCTATATTGCCAGTGACTGATCAAGCCTCACTTCACCTGAATATTGACTTTGTGCTGTTTAAAGGAACTAACGACAGGAGCAATGGAATGATGCGCGGTGGGTGTCAGTATGGGTGTGGATGTGGCTAGGGTGGGTGGGTGTGGGGGATGTGAGTGTAGGTATGACTGAGTGGGTGTGAGTATGGGCATGAGGGTGTGGCTAGGGTGAGCGGTACGGGAAATTTTGAAAAACAAATTTTTGTCATTTTCAAAAGACTTTTTAATGGATATTAATAGAGGGTCATATGCTGATTATATTGGAGAAAACTTATTTCATATGATGGAACTTACCTATTACTTTTTGGATGAACTCTAGTATATTTTCTATGGAAAAAGGGTCATTTTTTGGGTATTTTTCAATAAGACTACGCAGGCTATTCTAGAACATCCCAGACCAATTCTTGCATGACTATAGAGTACTCAGTGCTAGTTTAAAACCATACAACTCCGACTTCTATACAGCCCGTTTTGCTCAAGATCGATCTCTCACAACATTGTGATTTTGACCAAAAACATGTTTTTGGTGAAGGTTCTCTAAGCGATAGAAACTATCTAGAAAGTTGCAATTTTCAGCGACATGAGTACTCAATGAGATATTTCTCTGACCAAAATTTCAGCACACTAACATAATCCATTCATGAAATATGCAAGTACACAAAATGCTAAAAAATGACCACTTTGTCATGTACTTGGTAGTATTGGTCAACTCATCAACAATTCATCCATTTGAGCTTTTTTCTATTTTTGATAACAGAGAACCATGATATCTGTTCACAGTAAAGATTTCAAGTCAAATGGATTTATTGTTGATGAGATCAAGATGCCACAAAAAAAACTAAAAAAATTCGCTTTTTTCACGGTAGTGCCTCCAGAAAAACTTAATTATCTTGAGAATGGAACAAGATTTTTTCAAACAGTTTGCGTAGAAATTCATCAAACACTTGCTCCTATAACATATATAAAAACCAACCAAATTGGTGATCATCGTTTGAGCAGCTTCTGTAGGAATCGATCGTGGCTTATGTGGAATGGCTCATATATATATAGAATCTTCGAGGTATTTGTTCGAGTAAAAGTCAAAAGGCCAAGATTCTGAAATGTGGTGTTGATAGATGGACAGTAGTAGTACTTAGTTTCAAAGCGTGAGCTCTTAACTTGCTCATAAGCTCTAGAACGTTCGATCACATTGTAGAGTGAACATTGAAGACCTATGAAAACTTCCTATATTCTCTACCACGCGAAAATAGGATTCTGAGTGTATCACTATGTAGGGTATCTGTGGTAGTATATATCCCCAAAATTTCATGACTCTAAACCTTGTTGTTGAGAAATGGTGAAATAAACAATACATGGGTACCGATTTGGTTGTCCTCATTTCTGACATCAGGGTGCCTGTATTGTAATTTTAATTTCTCAAGAAGGGAACGATTTCAAGAGATGAAATTTTAGGTATTTTCTTAGGACACTTGGGGCTACATATGGGCAAAGTGTCATCGAAATCCATGACATTCATTGAGCACGATGTATCGTAGCTTTCGTGCAATGACTCCTAGGTGTGGGGTATGGGTGTGAGTGTGACTGTATTTGACAGCAGTATCCAAGGACTGAGAAATAGGAATTCCTAATTTTCAGAGGAGCTGTCAGTGTAGCTATGATAATTCCTTGGGGAAATGGGAATTGACCATTATTTCCATTACAGTTCCCTCATTCATGAAAGTCAAGATAATGCTTTTTTTGCAATAATTTTCGTACTCATACGTTCATGTGCACAAATTTCTTGATGAAAACGAGTGTAAGAGTAATAAGTACGTGGATATTGTATTTTTTTAATTTTAACATTCAAGAAAATGCCAGAGAACTGAGTAGGAATTCCTATTCCTCAGTCCTTGGACACCCCCCTCTATAAGATGCTTTTTTTCGACGCATATAGACACAAACTTGTAAAGTTACCCACACGACTGGGAGGCGTTGGAATGCCACAATATCAACGCCCCTTGGTATAGGTTGGTGTTCAATGCTATTGAGGGATGTTGGTATTCACTAGCCTTGGTTGGTCTTGAATAACATTGTATAGTGTTGAATAGTATTGAATAGCATTGAATAGTATTGAATAGTATTGAATGGCATTAAATAGTATTGGGTAGTATTGAATAGCATTAAATAGCATTGAATAGTATTGAATAGTATTGAAAAGTATTGAATAG